TCACCGTGCTGGGATGTGTTGGAGTTCACTTCAGAGTTCGAACCTACGCAATTCGTACGGGTACTCCCACGTTCGCAGGTCAACTGAGGTACAGAATCTGAAGGTTCAGAACTAGAGTTACTGTTAGTACGACTTGAACTTTCAGGCTCTCTGCCCGCCCTTACTTTACACTCTCGTGCTTCATGACCCGTTGTGCCACAGCGCCAGCACGTCTGGGTCTGCCCCCTGTGCCACACCCGCAACTTTCTCTTCCCAACGGTCACACACGACGGTACGGGTTTAGACAGTACGATATTGACGTACCTGATTCCTGTCTTGAAGGACGTGTTGTTGTTGTAGAACTTTATTTAACGTCGCACCACAAACAGGCGATTTCGCCTCCTTTGATACATGTGGACGACAGAAGGAATGAGAGAGAGGGGGGGGACAGAAGTATGGAGAGAGGAAGGGTAGAAATAAATAAGCAATCAACCTCAGGGCTACACCAAAGCAAAAATGGAATGGGAACATACTATATACAAAATAGCTTCATACATATATTGCAAAACACGTTTACTATTCTTCAGTCCGCTATACCACAGAAACACACTAGCCGAAAAGCATTTAAACGGAGCCATGATGCGCTTTTAGCAGGGCACAGAACTGAAGGTGGCTGGGCTCGGAACGGAGATCAGGCGGGAGCTGGTTCCACAAGACTGCGCCGATGATGCATGGTCGCTCGCGTGCCTTCGAAGCTGATCTTGCCGTGTGATGGCGGACCAATGAGAACATGTCCAGTCCACTACAATCAGTGACATTCCTAGCTAGGTCGGACGGTGCGTTGACCCCGTTGAACTTTTGCTACCTCGCAGTATGTGGCCCTACATGTAAGTGTTGTGCTCTGTCTATCCCCTACTTACTTAGCTACACGTATTCGCAATTCACTCTACGTACGCCGCGTGGCACAAACACCGGGCAATAACCTACCCCGTGGACGTGGCAGCCCGAGCGCGCGATCATTGGTAGGCTATAACTAGTATAAGGCAGCCGCGCGATAAAGCCAGCCTAGCGGGTATAGGTAAGCACGTGCTAGATGTGTTTGAGGGCAGCCTGCCTCCTTTCTAGGCAGCCTTTCGCCACGCTGATGTCAATTCGCTTACGCCGATAGCCCCTTCTACGACCAGATCAGAGTTGCAGGTCTAACATAATTATATAATGTAGAAGTCCTTTTCGAACCACTCACTTCCTTCCAAGAGGCCCTAAGTCCTGAAGCTGAATTTGATCAAGTGCGTCTTGACTTCACTTTTCAGCCATGGCATTGTTTGATCTGTCCAATATGGAGAACAGCACTTCATTCCACATGTCTAGTATCAGAAACGCTGGCCGGATAGCCCAGCCCCCGTCTACCATGTCAATGCCGCCCGTCATGAACATTGCTCCACCTTCCCAAGGCATTACTAGCTTAACGCCGATTACGGACAACAAGGGCACCTTCCTTCCGCCGCCATACCCGCTTGGTTCCGCACCGGAGCTGCCCTCCCCGTCCAATGGCGATGCTGAGACGCCCATTAGTGCCGACGCCGCCAGGAATGGGTTTCAACTAGCTGGTGAGGCATCGCTTTGACTTCTGTTTCCGTGTTTCGTCTCTAGTTGTTTAGATGCAAACTACTAGTACTTTGCCTTCTGTAGGCGAGCACTACCAGCTGCACCGATGCATGGTTCACTCTGTCGGTATTATTGGTGGTGATGTTGTTGTTGTGGTAACGAACTATATGTTCAAACATGAGATATTGCCAAGCGGAAGGTGATAAAATCATGAGATTGAATTTAACAGGTTTTTCTGTAGCAGAAACGCTTATCCGATTTTTTGATTTCATGTTTTTCCCTCTTAATTCTCTGTGTCCAGCAGCTTCCCCTCCTGTCAATGCCACAGAAACTCCCCTGGCAACGCCAGTCACACCCGGAACTGATGTCAAGGTGGAGGGTGGACAGAGCCATTCGACTGCATCCACTCCCACAGAGGATGGACCCAATGGCGATGCGGGTAACATGAAAAAGCGGAAACAAAGAGCTGTGTTCACACGCCAACAAGTCATCGAGTTGGAGCGACGCTTCAGAGTCAATCCATATGTATCCGCACCGGAGCGACAGGAATTGTCAGCCATACTGAGACTGACTGAGACCCAGATCAAGGTCTGGTTCCAGAATCGACGATACAAGTGGAAGCGAATCTCCACGGAGGCTGCAGCCAATGGTCAGCACATTGCCCCTACAACAGGAATGGGCGGATCAGCTGCTCTTGCCAACCCGTATCATGGACAACCGCTGGTGCCCCGGCCAGTTGCACCATATGGACTAAATCCTATGTTCTATGGGGACCAGTTCAGCCAGGCGCAACTGCAAGCAGCACAAGCTGCTGTAGCTCAAGGACAGACTGGCGTCTCTATGGCAGGAGCAATCCCGCAAATGCAAATGCCAGAACAGCAGCTAATGCAGTTCCAGGCATCAGCTATGGCTGCCGCTAGCGGCGCTCCACCCTCTACCACAATGCAGCAACAGCAGCAGGCCATGCAGATGCAAGCTCCAAGAACGCCTGGTGCACCACCACCCATGCAAGGTCCCTCTTGGTACTCTGCTCCGTACTACTAGCGTCGCAGCAGTACATCACTACATGTAAGAAAAGAAAAGTACTAGAAGTAGTTATGCTGAAATAGAATCTGGGCATCAAGTCTCTGGCACTGCGTCACTATGTGTCAGTTACGAAGGTACTTGTCATGTTGTCTGTCTCGTCCATATGTACAGTCGGTAGTAACTAACTTTCTGCAACACAAACTAAAACGGTGCAATAGCTGCTGTAGTACAAAACACAAATTTTGTTACGTTAGAAGTATTGCCATGGAGATACACGATGGCAGGTCTTGTGCAGTCCTTATTTTTTCAAATTCAAAGCTGTATACAATTGTTGATTATGGAATACTTCATCGCTTTCTTGCTGCATAGCCAGGCATCCAATGGCTGTGTATATTCTTGGTGCTCTCTGATTTCTTAGCCGTTGAAGTAGTATTAATTTATCCTTCTTGTTCAAGTCAGTCTACATAATGTGTGCCTTGATGTACATAATGATTGTTTGTCTTGATTTACATGCTGTTGAAAAGCTTTACAAACCCCTACGCTGCTTTCATGATCATTTCCTTTGAGCCCAAAGTGGAAAAGATTCTAAATATAAATCAATTTGGTTATTGTGCCTGGCGGCCAGTGAAGACTGGATGAGATTATGCTTCACTGGCGCTCGTAAGCTTGGTTACATTCTCAATACTGGGAGCGCGGGGGATGGGTTAGCGAGACCAGCACCCTACAATTTTGAGTACCTATTCCAAAAAATCTTGTGACTTTTAATAAGTCACCCTCCTATGGCAGAATGATACAGGTCTAAAAACAATGTACGCCTAGCCTTTATTTGCAATATGTACACACATGCAAGCATAGGTAAGCTATTTTTTGTACATCGAAGTAGATGGACATTTACTGAAGCTGCCTCGTAGAGGGTGAGAAATGGATTGCATAACTAGCGAAGAGAGCCAGGGAATACACACCCAGGAGCCTATAGACCCAGGGAATACACACCCGAGATAGGCTCCGGCGGATTATGCTCGCGATATGGAATTATGCTTTCATGGATTCTCGCAATATGCTCACAAAATCCTCATAATTATTATACTTGGGCACGCGGGGATACATATTCACTTTGTTGTACTTCAAAAACTTATGGAGCCTCAAAGTTCGGAAAATTAGGCCTTTTTCGTACTTGAAAGTAACCATAAGTACAACAAAATGTTACATGAGTATCCCGATATCAAGGTGTCCATGCATGCTAGAGATCAACATGGAAAAGAGAAAACATCACTTCTTCTATTCATTCGTTGACTTCGTTTGTAAAAAGATTTTTCATTGCCAAATTAGTTCGAGTTACCTTTGAAAATTATCATGTTCAACAACTGTCTTCGTAATCGTCATACTCGTCCCACCGATCTCACCCTCACCCTGCGAATAATCAGCTCATCTCTCCCGTAGCTCCACCTCTTCTTCCATTATGACCGAACATCAACTATACCTCAATTTTTTTACCCTAGAACTACTGGAGGCATCATATGACTCCACCTGACTTAAACATACCTACTTGGTGTAGGTATGTTTAATGATGTGTTGCAGATCTGGTTGTCTCACGAGTAGACATGCGGCATTGCGGTGCGGCTGCTGATGGTGGCAGAATGGCTTTCACCATTTCCGGACCCTCCACAAAGTGCAGCTTGTACAGAAAGCTTTGATTTTGTGTTTCTCATTTTGTTGCAATCACTACTTATCCATGCCGGTTCCTTTTTTTCTTCTCCTCCCCTTCTCCCTTCCTTGCCGTGGTTGGCTAAAATAGTGGTTGGACTTCGGCGATGATTTGTAAGAACGGGTTCGCTCCCCACACCGGAGCTCGCGCTATTCCGCCGACTTGACTTGACACATGACTGACTCACGACTGCCATCCAGAGAACACGAGAACTCCATCGAACTTTCGACTCCGCAAACCTGCAAGAAAGCACCACTCCTGATGTATATGGCATACTTCCGTATATGGTGCAGCTCCCTCACCCCGTACCGTATGCACCCGCCTAGAGCTCCTGCTTCCATATGCGCTTGTACACACTTTCCTTGGTGTTCGTACACACTTCCCTTTTGTGTTCGCACACTGCTTGGAATGTTGTTCTTCGCTTGTTGTCCTCCTGGCTAGTTGTGAATAAACTCTATCTGACACCACATGGCGCAGTGAACATTTCGTCCTGTAGTTTCCATTCTGTCCACACCAACCTAGTTTGTAGTGTCTTACCTGGCCCAGTAGCAGTGTAGCACTCCGTTGGATTTGGATTAGATTACCCTGCAGTTAGTTTGTTAGTTCGTTTTAGATTAGAGTGTTGTTCAATTTATTTCGTAGGACGTAGTCGTGTGAGCTGTCACAACGAGCATTTGTGATCAGCATGGCGAGCAGCGATCCCGCAGCACCTTCTGGTAATGGAGTGCCTGACGTCGCCACGCTCCTGCAGCTCCTGACAACTCAGGCACAGGCGTCTGCACTGCGAGATCAACAGTTTCAGACCCTGATGGAAAGGATGTCCAACCAGACCAGTACTAGTTCTACAACCCCACCTGCACCCAAGTCTGTGTCCGCAGAACGACCAGTATTGTTATCTACTGCCACAATGGCAGAATTTACCGCTTGGGAGGAGGCCTGGCGTGACTATGCGCAATGCCAATGTCTCGCCAGCCACGACCGCCATACACGTATGTCAGCGTTCCGCCAGGCCCTAGATGAGGACCTGCGCCGTTTCATTCGAGAAGGCATTATCGCCTTCCCGGAAGACGCTGACATTGCTTATGCCATCCCGGTCCTCCAGCAGTACATCCGGCGGCAGACGAACCCGCTGCTCGACCGAATCGAATTTTACAAGAGACGGCAGCAGCGTGGGGAATCATTTGACTCCTTTTATATGGCCCTCCGTGAACTGTTTCACGCGTGTGACTTTTCTGGGTGTTCAGTATGTCATAACTGCAACCAGGCGATGTGCAACCCCTGCAAGGCAGGCCTGTTGAAATTCAACAACGACATACTACGTGACCGCATTGTGACAGGCGTATTTGAGGACGACGTGCGTCACAAGCTGCTGGCCCTCCAGAACTTGGATCTGGAGGCAACCGTGAAGCTCTGCCGTGCTGAGGAAGCAGCCTGCCAAACTTCCTCTGGCATTCCCTCCAGTGGTCACGTGCACGCAGCTAAGAAATCATCTTATAAACAGCAGAAGGAGAGCCGGCCCGCACCCGTGAAGTCTACACCAGACAAGCCCGCAGGTGACAAGTGTCCCAGCTGTGGTCGCAGTCCCCACACCAAAGGCACATGTCCTGCGAAGTCACGCAAATGTAACGGATGTCAACGTGTCGGACATTTCCAGTCCATGTGCCCGCACAAAGGCAAACCAACAGCATCCGGCAAAGTCGGCCAACTTAAGTTGCAACGTGCCTCTGTTCGACATGGTCTAGAACTCAGTGTCCACACGCAGCTCAACACAGAACCGACCGCCGAAGCCATGACATGGATTCCAGACACCGGCAGCGATGTTGACGCCATTGGGCCAGCACATCTTTCCCAGCTAGGTGGCTTCCCTGAGAACCTTGCCGTCGATTCCGACACTGTTTCAGCAGCAAACGGCACCTCTCTGGTTAGCCTGGGAAAGATTTCTGCCACGCTCTCCATTGGCTCAGCCCAGCACACCACGGTACTTCATGTTTATGAAGACCTCGATGAGGCGTTGCTGTCATGCCAATCTCTCCGTGCTCTTGGCATTCTCCCTGAGTCCTGGCCGCGGATCTCCCGTGTGAAGTCCGAACCCAGTAGTGCAGATATTGCTGATGTTAAGGCTCAGCTGATGCAAGAGTTTGCTGATGTATTCGACGACTCCCAATTGAAGCCCATGGCTGGTCCTCCCATGGAGATAAAGCTTCAATCTGACGCCACACCAACTCGTGTTAATGGTGCCCGCGCAATCCCATTCGCATTCCGAGACCAGATAAAATCTCAACTGGACGATATGGTGATCAATGGAATTATTGAGCCAGTCACTGAACCGTCAGACTGGTGCCACCCGATCGTCATCGCAGATAAGAAGTCTTCTAACGAGAAGCGCCTCACCGTTGATTTGCGTAAACTCAACGACCAAGTCTGCCGACCAACACACCCAGCTCGTACTCAGCGTGACGCCGTGACAGCTATTGGTAAAGCCCGTTTCTTCACCACACTCGACGCTCGTCATGGGTACTGGCAAATACCCCTGTCCGACGACTCGAAGCCGCTCACGACATTCATCACGCCCTGGGGTCGGTATCGCTATTGCCGCAACCCTCAAGGTCTGTCCTCAGCAGGTGACGAATTCAACTGCCGCACAGACGCAGCATTTGACCGCCTCGCTAACTTCGTCAAAGTCGTTGATGACGGCCTAGTACATGACGTCGATTTTCAAGACCACGTCACCCACGTTCGTGACGTCCTTCACCGTGCCCGTGAGCATCACATTACGCTCAGCCCACACAAGTTTGTATTCGGTGCTAGTGAAGTACAGTTCTGCGGATTCGTTATCAACGCTGATGGTTATGCCGTTGATGGTGGCAAGACATCTGCCATTCGCCAGTTCGAAGTGCCCTGCAACCGCACTGACCTCCGCTCGTTCTTCGGTTTGGTCAACCAATGCAGCGACTTCACACCACGCATTGCTGAACTAAGTGAGCCGCTTCGCCCACTCCTGAAAACCAGCAATGAGTTCGCCTGGGATCAGCAGCACACCATAGCATTCGAAGCCGTCAAAGCCATCCTGACTGAGTCACCAGTGTTAGCTTTCTTCCAACCTGGCAAGCCTCTCCGTCTCGAGACTGATGCACCTGTGAAGAATGGCCTCGGATTTGCCCTATGGCAACAGCATGATGACCAGAAATGGCACCTCATCCAGTGTGGAAGTCGTTTCTTATCTGACGCTGAAACAAGGTACGCTGTAATCGAGCTCGAGTGCCTCGCAGTCGTCTGGGCAGTGCACAAGTGCCGCTTGTATCTATCTGGTGCACAGTTCTCACTAATCACCGACCATCGTCCGCTTGTACCGATTATCAACAGCTACACCCTTGACCAGATTGAGAACTCTCGTCTACTCCGATTGATCATGAAACTTCGTCCGTATCAAGTGAAAGCATCGTGGCGTAAGGGTTCAGAGCACGTATTCGCAGACGCCCTCTCACGACATCCTGTATCAATCCCGACTAGTGATGATGAACTTGGAGAAGATCCAGCACTGTCCTGCCGCAGTATCCGCATCTGTCTACTCCAAGATGGTCCCCAGAGTCTCCAGTTCGCTAAGCTCCGTGCCGCAGCAGCATCTGATCCTGACTACCAGATGCTACTCGGGTATATCCAGAACGGATTTCCCTCAGCACAAAAGCAGCTGCCCGAGCCCCTTCGTGCGTATTGGAACGTGCGTGAACATTTGTCCACCGACAATGGCATAGTCCTGAAAGGTCTACGCATAGTCGTCCCAGCCTCTCTGCGTGCGTCAACGCTGATCGACCTTCACGCAGCCCACCAAGGTCTGACCCGTACCAAACGACGTGCTCGTCAGACCGTGTATTGGCCCGGAATGAACAGTGAGTTAGACACGCTAGTCCGCAGCTGTGATGCATGCCGTGAATTTCAGCCGTCTCAGTCTGCCGAACCGCCCATTTCTGACCGCAAGCCCACTTTGCCATTCGAAAGTGTTAGTGCTGACCTTTTCAGTTGCCAAGGTTGCGAGTATTTGGTATTCGTCGACCGCTTAACCGGATGGCCATGCATAGCCAAGCTTGGTCACTCAGCCACGTCAGCTGACGTCATTCGTCATTTCCGCAGGTGGTTCCCAGATGTAGGCGTACCACAGGTCATTTCAACGGACGGCGGTCCTCAGTTTGCGTCTCACAGATTTGCTGAATTTTGCGAGCGCTGGGGAATCCGTCATATCAAGTCGTCCCCTCACTACCCACAGTCGAACGGACATGCGGAAGCAGCCGTAAAGGCAATGAAGTACCTGGTGGAAAAGACTACCAATGACGGTAATCTAGACACCGATGCTTTCCAGCGTGGCCTTCTCGAGTGGCGCAATACTCCTGGCACTTCGGGAAAGAGTCCTGCCCAGTTACTGTATGGTCGCCCACTCGTCTCCTTCGTTCTCGCCCAATGGAGCCAGTTCGACTCCCACTGGCAAGACACCGCATCTGACATGGATGATGTTGATCGAGTAGACCAGCCTCCCAGTCAGCCTCACCGAGAGCTTCCCCACTTGTCTATCGGGACGCACGTTGACATTCAGCACCCGAAGACAAAACGGTGGTCTTCCCGCGGCGTTGTCGTGGCTATCGGTGACCACCGCGACTACTACGTCAAGCTACCGAGTGGACGCGTATATTGGCGCAACCGTCGCTACCTCCGCCCGTACCGTCCTCCTACTCCAGCTTCAACAGCCATGCCTACATCGTCTCCCGCACCCGACGCTGCACCACAAGCAGTCCCTGTGACTCAGTCGTCGCCACAGTCAACTGTTCAGGTACCACCTCGAACAAGCCAACGTCCCCGGCGACAGAATGTCCCCTTTAACATTATTTCAACGCGTGGACAATCGTACAATTAACACTCGCTCTGTTCAGTTGTTGATGTCCATTGTACCTATTCAATTGTCATTCCCATTGTTTCGCAGTTGAAAACCTTCATGTATATAATTTTTGCAATTATCCCTTTTACAAGTCTGTTGGAAGTTGCTGCTGCTCCGCGACATGTCATTTGCTACGCACATGCAATTTTCACATTATTTTTTGTTGATTAGATAAACACTTGTACGTTTTTATCTTAGGAGGGGCATGATGTATATGGCATACTTCCGTATATGGTGCAGCTCCCTCACCCCGTACCGTATGCACCCGCCTAGAGCTCCTGCTTCCATATGCGCTTGTACACACTTTCCTTGGTGTTCGTACACACTTCCCTTTTGTGTTCGCACACTGCTTGGAATGTTGTTCTTCGCTTGTTGTCCTCCTGGCTAGTTGTGAATAAACTCTATCTGACACCACAACTCCCTGCTCAATACACAGTGTTTCGGGGAATTCACCCCTCATCAGTTGAGCTTGAGTAGGCTGAAGAAGTCAAGTCGGCGGAATAGCGCGAGCCCCAGTGTGGGGAGAGAACCCTTTCTTATGAATAGGCCTTGACGGATTATGCTAGCATAATTTCCCGCGTAATTCCTACCAAAATCGAATAATCGCATAATTCGAGGCAAATTGTATACGAATCGCATAAATTGGAATAATCCGCCTGTTCGCATCAAATTCCATACAGTTAGTTGTACCAAGAGTACATAACCCCCCAGAGTGTGCAACTCCCACATACCCTGTTGTCCCGACAGAATTTCAAGTTGACGTCATTATTTATGACGCAATGCTCCTTGCAGCAGTGATTTACAACATGTGTACGGGTGTCAACGCATCACACGTTTTTCTTTGCAATAATTTGTACAGGATCGATCGGCTTCGGTCAACCACAGGTTCCGGATTCGTCTGATAATCCGTGTACAGTGCGCATTGCATCATCAAAATGACGTCAACTTGAAATTCTGTCGGGACAGCACCCATAGTGGAGTTGCACACTCTGGGGGGTTATGTACTCTTGGTTGTACATGTTCTACAGGTACAAGTAAAAGTAGATGCACCAGGAAGTCGTAGGTTTACGACTCCCTTGATAACATGTCCAGTCCGCTACAATCAGTGACGGTCGAAGCTAGGTCGGACGGTGAGTTGACCCCGGTGAACTTTTGCTACTACAGTACAACGCCCTTTACAAAAAAATTCCCCTGTTATTTTGCACATAACCATCATATACATGTACATTAGCAGCATATGTGAGCATACATATGCGGCATAGTATGATAACTTTTAGCATAAAAATAGCATAATTCTGCAATTTTTTCAGCAATGCGAAAAGCATAATTTCACGAAAATATTAGCATAATCCGTCAAGGCCTACTTATGAAGGGGAAGTTAAGACTAAAATCAATTTTTCACCAGTTGTAGTCTTCGGGGTGCTGAGTCGAATGGTCTTGCTCCGAGGAAGTTGAGACGCTCCCTTCCTTCTTCATTCCCAATCGAACTCGCGCTCTTGCAACGAAACTAGGTGACTGCGCCCTACTAGATGGGGGTTTGTATGCAAAAAGTCACTAAAAGCGCCATATCGTTCTTATAAAAGCACCGATGACCGCGATTGGCCCATATTTTGTAGACTTTTGGACGCTGAGTCGACTGGTTTTGGTCCGAAAAGGCTGCGATGTAGCGTTCGGGCCTTATTCCAATCGAACATGGCTGAACAAGCGGTCACGTGCTTCTGCGTACACCAGTCACCAGGTCACCGTGCCTGCAGGCTACAACTAACTTACAGCATGTTTGGGTGAGTTTCTGTCCCTTGAGTTGAACCTTTGAACCTTTGAGTTGAACCTTGGTGTGAAAGTAACTACTGCAAAAGCAGAACTTTTCGGTATTCTCCAAAATCGGCGGTTCGGTAGAGGGAAATTTTCGGTAAAACCCGTTTTCCAGTATACATGTACTACATGTAGTAGTACATTGAAGGATGTAGCGCAGCAAGATGATGACGATGATGTTGGTGACAAAAGCGACACAGAGGATGGAGTGGTCGCTACCGCCATCTCTGGTAAGCAGGCAGTTCAGCACATTGACGGACTCAAGAAGTATGCCTTGCAGAGAGGCCTTGACAACATACTGGATCTGGTCACACAGGCGACTGACATTATTTACAAGGAGGAGATGCGTCGCAAGTCCGAACTTGAGCAGGGAAGCCTTGACAGCTGGCTGAACATGTAAAAGATTAGCCCTGGTATGGGCACTATTCTTGGGTTTGTGCACCCCTATATTCTATTGAATATCCAATAAAATAATATTAAAAATTACAATAATTATACTCGTCGATTTAAGTACATGGAAGCATATATGCATGCCCGGTATTTTATTTATTTATTTATTTCACTCAACTCGTGGTTCATGACCAATTGGCACGCAAAGTGCGAGAGAGGGGTGATAGCCAACCACGGCAAGAAAAGAAAAGAAAGGAATATAGAAAAAGAGAAGAAAGAAGGATAGACAAGAATCCAGCAATGAGATCCTATCGTACTACATTATGCGATCGGAGTGCATTTTTAAAGCTGGAAAGACATTTTGATGTCTTAACATGCTGGGGAAGTTGCAGCCAAAGGCTGTAGGACAAAAACAGAGGAGAGTTGGTAAATGCGGCTGAATTAGCACAGGGAAGTGAGAGACTATTACGAGTGGACCGGGACAGAGAAAACCAATTGAATACGGAGAGATGAATGGGAATTTTACCTAGGCGAATTCTGTGGATCAAAACGCAAAGCTGCTGTTTGCGATTATCTTGCAGTGGCTGAGTATTGCTGATACAATAGAGCTCAAGACTAGGAAATAAACGCTGCTTGTTAAACAATATTTTAAGAAGAGATTTATGTTGGATTTCAAGTTTGTTCACAAGATGTTGACTTAGACTACACCAAGACTGACATGCATACTGGAAAATAGGTAATAGATACGAGCGATAAAACATAGAACGGCATGTATTTGGCAAATGAGAACGATGAGGATATAGTATGCCGAGAACACTACTAGTTTTCTTGCAAATATAGTCTACATGAGGAGCCCATGTTAGACAGTCGTCAATAATTATACCAAGGTGCTTATGTTCATGGACAATTTCTATGGTCGATGAGCTGCCAGGACATGATAAAGACACATTGCAGAACTGATCACTAGCACCGCTACAGAAGAACATCACTTTGGTCTTACTAGTGTTCGGTCTCAGCTTCCAAGTCGACATCCAAGAAATGGTGGAGTTTATCTTTTTCTGGAGGTCATTGACTAGCAATTGCTTGCAACTACTTGAAGCGGAAACTGTGGTGTCATCGGCGAACAGTGAAACATTAGGGACAGACATCGGTAGATCATTGACGTAGACTAAAAAGAATAGTGGCCCCAGGATTGACCCCTGTGGCACACCAGAATTAATTGCCTGGGGAGACGAGAGGGTGTTGCCGACGCGTACAGCCTGTAGCCTGTCAGTTAGGTAGCTTTCAAAGAAACAAAGCAGGTTGCCACCAATGCCATAGGCACCCAACTTGGCAATCAGGCCTCTATGCCAAACAGTGTCAAAGGCTTTCGCCAGGTCAAAGAAGCACATGCCAGTATGTTCTTTCAAATGTCGGGACTGCATGATGTTTTGGATTAGGTGGACTAGGTGCAGAGCTGTGGAGTCCCCTCGCCGTAACCAGGAGACTTCTTATTGGGGAGACTACGTATATATCTGGTTACAGTACGGGATGAAATCGTCAGCGATGTAAACGTTGACTCTACAGGTATTTGGTGGATAGGAGGAACTAACCATTCAGGTCTATCCTTAACGCAGAAGCTGGTAAACTGCTCATTCAGAGCATCCGCGATATCAAGAGGCGCAGTGGCGGAACTTTGGTCAGACCGTGTGATTGCTGTTGGACTAGAGCCCAATGACGATGCTGATTTACGAAGAGTTCTTATAAATGAGTGAAGTGATGGACGCTGGCTGTCGGTGAGAGAAGTAGTAATGGACTGGATGTATTCTTTATGGGCTACACGTGATAACGTTTTTGCTATATTCCGCTGACGTTTGTACTGCGTTGCATTGGACGGGGTAGGGTATTTTTTATAGATGCTGTAGAGGTCATGCTTTCTCTTAATGCCTGCCCTGAGCACTGGTGTCATCCATGGTGGATCCTGGCGTGAAGGGCGGCTTCGGTTTCTGGTGGTTGACTGGTGATCGCGGTGAGAAGAGCAGACTGAGAGAGACGATTCGAGGACAGACGAGAAGTTAGAAACGGCTGTATCAATGTCAAGGCCGCATAAAAGGTCACTCCAGTGAGTTGCGGCAATTTCAGCATTGACGCCTTCCCATTGCGATTGAGTGAGCAAGTGATGGCTGAAGCGAGGCGGTGCAGTGTCAGATGTGGACTCTCGAGACTGTGCTATGTCTTTAGCTATGGAGAGCCTGCCGAGGACGATTAAGTGATCGGAGGCACCCAGGGGGCTCAGGGATTCAATGGATGTGAACCTCTCGGGAATGTTTGTGGCGACTAGGTCCAGGCAGCCACGGGGCCCATTGGATGTAAGATGGGTGGGGAACGTAAAAAGTTGAGACAGTGCTATGGAGCGAAAAAGGTTACACAAGGCAGAGCCTGCAGCAGATGTTGAGTCGGAGGCACACCAGCTCTGGCAATGGGCATTAAAATCACCAGTTACAATGGTAGATGATGGATCAGGTAGCTTAATGAGAGCAGTCCGCAGAGTATCTACAAAATATTGTAGGTCAGCAGCGGGCTGGTTAGGGGGTCTATACAAGCAGGCAAACGACAGTGGTTGGGATGAACCTATGGGAGTAGCTTCAATAGCAATTGCTTCAAAGTTCTGTTGCCGAAATGAGTGAATCTCTCTCAATTTGCTGAAGGCGGTAGTGAGCACCAGGATGGCAACACCCCCATAGCCTCTGAAGGGGTCAGGGTTAGAGGGAGTTTGCGGTCGGTCACGGCGGAATACT